TGACCTTCCGGATTTGTCTTCTGCACCTAAGTCTTGTCTGGAGCAGCTTCAACTGACAGAACCTCTGGTCTCTTTTTGGCAATTTTTAAAATTTTTTTAACTTTTATTTAGCAAATATAAATTTCCAAAGTACAGCTTATGGATTACAATGGCTTTTCCCCGCCATAACTTCCCTCCCGCCCGCAACCCTCCCATCTCCCGCTCCCTCTCCCATTCCATTCACATCAAGATTCATTTTCAATTCTCTTTATATACAGAAGATCAATTTAGCATACATTAAGTAAAGATTTCAACAGTTTGCACCCACACAGAAACATAAAATGGAAAATACTGTTTGAGTACTAGTTACAGCATTAATTCACATTGAACAACACATTAAGGACAGAGATCCTACATGAGGAGTAAGTGTACAGTGACTCCTGATGTTGATTTAACAAACTGACACTCTTGTCTATGGCGTCAGTAATCTCCCTAGGCTCTAGTCATGAGTTGCCAAGGCTATGGAAGCCTTTTTAGTTCGCCAACTTCGATCTTATTTAGACAAGGTCATAGTCTAAGTGCAAGTTCTCTCCTCCCTTCAGAGAAAGGTACCTCCTTCTTTGATGGCCCGTTCTTTCTACTTTGATCTCACTCACAGAGATCTTTCATTTAGGGTTTTTTTTTTTTTTTTTTTTGCCAGAGTCTCTTGGCTTTCCATACCTAAAATACTCTCATGGGCTCTTCAGCCAGATCCAAATGCCTTAAGGGCTGATTCTGAGGGCAGAGTGCTGTTTAGAACATCTGCCATTCTATGAGTCTGTTGTGTATCCCGCTTCCCATGTTGGATTGTTCTCTCCCTTTTTTATTCTATCAGTTAGTATTAGCAGACACTAGTCTTGTTTATGTGATCCCTTTGACTCTTAGACCTATCAGTATGATCAATTGTGAGCTGAAATGGATCACTTTGACTAGTGAGATGGCATTGATACATGCCACCTTGATGGGATTGAATTGTAATTTCCTGGCACATTTCTTACTCTACCATTTGGGGCAAGTCAGCTTGCGCATGTCCCAAATTGTACATCTCCTCCCACTAAAGGACTTAATTTTAGCTACCTTGACATTATTAAGAGTCCTTCCTCTAGCACAATGGAATCCTGTGGTTTATTTGTCCTTCCTCTCTACTCCTTTCTCATCTCCTACTTGCCTCCTAAGTGGTGACATGTCCCAGCACTGCCTCTCTGTAACCCTCCTTTGCTCCCTATCACTTCAGCGGGTTTGCAACCTATTGCTTGATTGATTTGATTCCTCTACACATCTGTCATTAGTGTTTTCGGCTTGGCTCATATCAATTTGGCTATTTAAGAGAATATGGCTTTCAATTTCTTTCTGGTAACACTACCGTCAGACAACTAATTACCAGTCTAGGAAATTGGTGGTCATTATTAAATCCTGCCATTCCACAGCATTTTATGTCTAATTAATGACCACATGCCACCTATTATATTTCAACTCCACACCTGCCTTTCCACTCACAGAGCCCATCTTGCAGATCTCCATTGCCTAAGACTATTATTACAATTTCCTAAGTGGACTCTGTGTTTCTCACAACTTAAAGACTCCCTAGATATTTAGATATTAATTTAGACATTAATTCAGAAATTAGATATTAATTCATAAATAAGCTAAAACATTCTCTTGGCCACTCTCTGGCATGGACGCCTTCAACGTGAGCTCACTATTGGAGAATCCAGTCCACACTTCCCAGATAGGGTTACTAGGCCTTCCACAATGTTGCACCTCCTCTTTAATATGTGAAGTAGCCATCATATCAAGCTTATTAATAGTTCCCTTTGTATGTGAAGTAACCATCATATCAAGCTTATTAATATTTCCCAACCCAAAGCCATTATTACTTGTTTCCATGCCTTTGTGTTTGATGTTCTCTTTGATTGGCATCCATGCCATTTCTCTTTGCCTCATAAGCTTCTATTCCTCTCTCAACAACTTTGAGAAAGCTTCTGGGATACTTTTTTAGCAAATTCACATGCTCTTCTGTAGTCCCATAGTAGTTGAGCTGCGTGATGTTGCTCACCTTATGTGTTCTACTAGCTCTTCTTTCCCCTAGATGATTGCAAGCTGGTCTGAGACAATATACAGTGAAACATATATACAGTGAAATTTGTGCTCTTATTAAGTATTCGAAAATTTCTTTGAGGGGGTGATTATGCCACTGCAAAGTTTGAAACCATCCCTACACTGTGTTGGCCAAACAAGTTTTTACCAAATATTGGCAAATAAAGAAATGATACAAAGGAAGGAAAGAAGAATTAATTACAGGTCCTACAAATCAACCAGGTTCTACTACAGACTCTTCAGAAACACAACGTAGGAGTCATCCTGACAGAACACTGACGTCTTATTGCGCATGGTACAGGTGGGAGCCTATGTGCTCAAGGATGAGGCAAGACAGCGAGTGAGATAGGTTAGGGCAGAGTCTTATTATTGTTACCTCCCACCTTCTTCCTGCCCACACTCCTAGCATTCAATTTAGAGTGCTGAATAGTTCTGCAAGTCCATAACCATTGGTAATAAAAACAGCGTCAAGGGAAATTTCAAGATTATATAGTGCAATCACTCCCAGATGCTTGACTTTGTCCAAATCATTCCTCCTAAGCCACCTATACTTCCCCTTGTAGTCAACAGTTCTGAACATACTCCAAACATGGCCAGCCCTATTTGGAAGGTTTCTCATATTAAGATAATTTTCCTTCCTTCTTTCCTTCTTCCTTCCTTCCTTCCTCCCTCCCTCCCTCCCTTCCTTTTTCCCTCTCTCCCCCTCCCTACCTTCTTCCTTCCTTTATTTCTTTCCATCCTTCCTTCTTTCCACCCCTCCCTCCCATCCTTCTTTCCTTCCCTTCCTCCATTCTTCCCTCCTTCCCTCCCTTTTTTTTATTTTTCTAACATGAGGTCTTCAAATACCTACAGAGGGAATTAATGTCCCTTTTAGGTCATGTGTTTCCCAAATTAAATTCCCCCAGGCCTTCTGCTACTCTTCATATAATATGATTTCTACTTTGCTCCCCAGTCAGGTTATTCTTCTACAGATAACATCCAATAGTACATTTTTCTCTGAAAGTGTCGTATCTATACAGAGGGTAACTAACTTCAAGATGTAGAAGAGCTTGGAGATTCTCTGTTCTCATTCTAGATCCTCTATTGTCTCAAGGAACCAAAATGCTGAGCTGGCATTTGGAACAGCCATTATTTATTATATTTTATACTCAGTTTATGTTCAATTCAAACTCCTAAGTTTTTCTGTTAGTTTTAAATTTTGGCAACTCCTAAGTCAATTTTCCCATACGATTTAGCAGTCATCATTTCCAGAAATAATTCAGAAGGTAATAATCCAGAGTTATACCTTGAATCATTCCTTGCATTGACTGAGTCTTGGGCACAAGCAGTTCAGAATATAAACAGGCAGTCCTGAACCACATCATAATGTGACTACATATATATGTCATGGCCCATACAAAACTTACAATGTAGATTCTGAACAAAGTATGCAGATGAAAGAAGGAACTAAAAATTTGAAGATCTGGAAATAAACATGATCCTCTCTAAAATATCCTTTCAACTAATCCTGGGTTACTGCCAGGGTAATTCCAAATTTCATGTACCCAACAGAGCAGCATCTCCCAAAGCATGTGTGAAGAAATACCACTTCCATGAGATATTAATAAATATGAATGAGATAATGAGAACTACGCAGCAAAGTAGAATAAGCAAAGACACACATCTCAGGGCTTTAAGATTAGCAATATGAAATGTGACATCTCAGCCTGATGGAACATCAAAAAGATCTCAGAAGGTTGTCTGACAAAATCACAAATTCCTGGACTTCAGCCTCTAGACTCTGGGTACAGGCCTGAAAAGGCATTTGTTGAGCAAGTGATTCTGAAACTGCAAACAAACAAACATCTTGGAGAATCACTGAGATCTGACCAGGAACTATTTTTCTCAGAGAATTTGGTTAACAGTTTCAAAGTATACATACTGTAAAGAATAACATTCTAAATTCAGTAGGACTTGTGACTATCTGGAAAATGAAAGCCCCACAAGGGTTATTTGTTTTTAAAACTCAGAATCACCAGGAGTTTAGAGTATACCTTTAGTTAGCCCCAAAGCTTACTTACTCCTTTACCAATACAGTACGCTATCTAACTATCCCGAACATTTTTGTTTTTATAATTCCATGTAAAATATCTTCTATAGCTAAAGGAGGGTTTGGCCATGGAAAAACATATCTTGGAAGTGGGAACAACTCAGAACAATTACCCACAGAAAAAGGCAGATGAGCTGAACTGATTACATGGTTTCCAGAAAGAAAAGATTTTGAGTGAGGTGCTGAGTTCCAGAAGAATCTTCTACAGGGCTAAGTAAGTACACTTACATCCCAGTAACCTGCACAATTATTTCTAACAAAATTCACTGGCAAAACCAATTATCACTAGCTTCCTTTTACTTAAAAAAATATACTTATAACTCCACCCAGGCGATGTCTAACTTGGCAAGGGAAACACTGAGATCGGAAACACGAATACACATTGAAGCAAAGAACTGAGGCTTGACGACACGGAAAAATGTCACAATAGTTTCACAAAAAACTTTGCTCTCCCCAAAACAATATACGGCTCTAGAGACACACGCACATATCCACTTACAAATACAGCACACACACAATTGTTCTGGGAGCAGCCAGGTACTAGACATTGCACATCAACTAAACAGTGCAATTCATCTAAATTATTACAGCACAAATCATACTTGCCCTCCCTTTCTCATTAATATTCTCTCAAGGGATGGCTTTCTAAAAAGAAAAAAAAAATTCATAAGAATTTCAGAATTCCAAGGTAACAAGAGTCAAATAAATAGCATTAAAAAGCACTTGTAGAAAAAGACTAAACGTACAGATTTTTCTTAGTAAAACATAAGCAAGCTTCTTTTTCTTTTAAAGGTACCTGCAAAATGTGACTTCCCAAATGTGCTTCAAATACTTCAATGGCTAGTGCACTGGGGCTTCTCCTTCGTTGTGCACCTATAACTTAAAAAGACAGACAGAAAGAAAGAAAGAAAAGAAGGAGAAAAATTAAGTTGGAGCTCTGATTGCATACCTTCAGCTTAATTTCCCTCTAATTACATCACTACCTAGTTACACTATCAATGAGATCTGAAAGAAACATCGATTATTATTAATTTCTTGTCTGGGCATAAGCACACCCTTGGCTGAGTTTTCAGCTCAGAATGTCAACTTTGAGAAACATTAAAGAACCACATCCATGCTTTAAAAAACTTTTTCCCACTTGGACTGTTTTTCCTAAACAGGGTAAAAACAGATGTTCACATTCCTTTAATAGAAATTGATACATTGTTTTTCTTAAAATGGAGGTATTGATGTTTTTAAAATATCTACATACTGCCTTACCCCACCCAGAGAGGTATCTAAACCATTCACTTCCTCCAGGCTAGGGACAAGCCAAGAGGAAACATTTGGTATTTTCTAAAGCAACAACTGGATCACAATTTAGTCAGGGCCATAGATTAGATAAGACATGCACAGTCACGAACATTTGCTCGAGTGTCCCGTCCTAAGACGGCTGGATTTCTGAATATTCATGTGTAACTATGCCACAGAACGGACAAGATGCTCAGACAGCCCCTCTGCCAACAGTGCCTCCTACGATCAGCAACTGTTTCTTACCTGGAGTCCCTGAATACACTGTTCTCTACTAACTCCCCTTCCTGACCCACAACATATGCCCCTGCAGGCACCTGTCACTCAAGGGGCCTCTGTCATCCTTAACAAAAGTCGACTTACTACATGAAATCAGTAATGAAAGAGTGATCTGTACCCCCATGTTTATTGCAGCTCAATTCACAAAAGCTAAGATATAGAATCAACCCAGATTTCCATCAACTGAGGACTGGATAAAGAAATTCTGGTGGGACCGGCGCTGTGGCTCACTTGGTTAATCCTCCACCTGCAGTGCCAGCATCCCATATAGGCGCTGGGTTCTAGTCCTGGTTGTTCCTCTTCTAGTCCAGCTCTCTGCTGAGGCCCGCGAAGGCAACAGAGGATGGCCCAAGTGCTTGGGTGCCTGTACCCGCGTGGGAGACCAGGAAGAAACACCTGGCTCCTGGCTTCGGATTGGTGTAGCTCTGGCCATAGCGGCCACTTGGGGAGTGAACCAACGGAAGGAAGACCTTTCTCTCTGTCTCTCTCTCTCACTATCTATATAAAACTCTATCTGTCAAAAAAAAAAAAATTCTGGTTTATCTATACTATGGAATACTACATAGAGGTAAAAAAAAAAAAAAAAGATGAAATCCTGTCATTTGCAACAAAATAGATGCAACTGGAAACCATTACACTTACTGAAATAAGCCAATCCCCAAAAGACAAATACCATATTTTTCCCTGACTTGTGGTAATTAATAGGATGTAAAAGGTAATCTATAGGAGTGAAATTGACATTTTGAGATTCAATGATTTTCAACAGCCCATGTCTCCACTATTGAGAAACAGTGTTTTTTTCATACTATTTATTGAACTCTTTACTTACTGTAGGGTTAATCTTATGAGTATAAAATATAATTAAAATAGCTCTTAGTAAACATTAAAAATGGGTGGCAGGGAGGGTAGGGTGGGAAGTATCACTATGTTCCTGAATCTTTATATAGAAAATACATGAAATTTGTACACCTTAAATAAAATTTTAGAATCTGAAATTTACTTAGAATATTTTTCTTTGACTTTTCTTCTGGGTATTTCTTTTTCTTTTTTCTTTTTTTTTTTTTTGTTCTCAAACATCACAAAAATCTAGTTGCTTTACAGTGAATTACAGTAGAAAACATTCATGTATTTTCTACATTTCCAATAAGTAAATGCCTTATATCTTCCCACTTTTTAAAACAATTTCATTACAAACCGCAGCTCTCACAAGCCTAGACACTACTCACTGAAAATAAAATCAGAATCCCTACTTCCTCACTTCTAAAAGCACTTTCAGTGAGTTGACAGAAAAATTCTGGCAAAATGCTGCAGGGATAATTCTGTTTCGTTTCAGTTACTAAGTCGGTCAGTTGGATCAATAGCTTAGTAGGGATTATAATACAAATGCACTTATGATTATTGTGCTGTTCAAAAGGAGGGAGTTCTCAGCTGCAATTGTGAATTAGCATCTGCAATGCTGAAAGGCACTTTGCAAACAGCCTAGGTGCGAAGTAGTAGCATTATTACCCACAAGAGGAAAACAAAAGGAACATTTTTTTCAATATGGAAATTTATAAAATATAATTAAAAAGTGATGATTACAGGCAATATTGCAGCTGGAATGGGATATACAGATCTCCACTCCCAGCTTTCCAGTTTGTTTCGGAAGCAAAACATCACACTGATGGCTTTAAAACAGAAAAATCTGTTTTCTACCCTGAGGTGATCCTTTATGATTGCAGACATACGACAGAGCAGGGCACCTTTTTTCTGCGGAGGGCCACATGGGTATTAATAGCATCATTTGTGGGCAATACACAATTATCAACTTACAAGTTAGCCTGCTATGGATCGTCTGAATTGCCAGTCCCACCTGTGGCTGCCTTGGCAGGGCCAGACCAAATAATTTCGTGGGCGTTATGTGGCCTGCGGGCCAGATGGTCTCTATCCTTGACACTGGATGTTAAAACTTTTAATATTCAGATACACTTAAAACAGCACCACTGCATGTGTTGTGTGTGTGTGTGTGTGTGCGTGCTTCTGATTAATTTCCTATTCTAACTCACACATTACTCCCTTCAAAACTCTTTTGGCATTTTTGATAATGCAGCTGTCTTGCTGAATACTGTTTTCAGTTTCCAGAGTGTTAATTGCACATTATGGTAGCTTGGTGTGAATGATCCCACATGAATAAAATCTGCAGCCTTTTTTTTCTTCCTCTTCTTTTTTTTTTTTTTTTTAAGATTATGGGGGGTGGGGGAGGGTGGCTTCTGGGAGGGAGAAGGGGGAGTTGAAAACCTTTCAAAGTATCCACTCTGTTTCTGAGGTAGTAATTAGGCTCTGGAAAGCTCCTTCTTAACAGTTCATGATTTGAAGGCGAGGCGGTGGGGTTGTGGGGGGGACTTTCAGAACTCTGGGTTGCAAAGTTTAACATAAATCACTGCACCACCTAGCAGACTGGATCAACTATGGAGAAGCCAACCCTTCCGCAAAGACAATTAACAGGGGCCAAGAGAGCACGAGCCCTCCCCCTTTAGGGGACCTTAAACCATGACAGGAAAGAGAGTGTTTGTTTCCTAGAAGGCTTGAGGGACAAGCTCCAGTAACAGGAGATGGCAGCTCAAAGCCTTCCAGAAGCAGAGACAGTTGTCTTTCACAGGGTGTAGGGGTTACTCCAATCTGGCTGTTGAGGGTCTTTGCTTCCCTGCCTGCGCCCCAAGCCACCTCGGGCTGAGTTCTGAAGAAGTGCTGTTGTCAGGTCTCACATCCACCAGTCCTCTCTGCAGAGCTTTTTGTTGTTGTTTTTTCTTTTTTTTTTTTTTTTTTTCCTGTAACTCCCCTAGAAATCTGTACATCCCAACACGTGCTAGGATAATATACAAGTATCTTGTAAGTACTTCCATGCCATTCTACTCAGTGGCATTTTTATGGCACTGGAACTTTTTGTGATTTATATGTTTTGCACTTATGCAGGTGATGTGGGGCTGTAATGACAGTTCCTAATTTTACAACCAACATAAATATGTTAAACAGGAGCCCATTATGGCCCTGGTTGGAGCCCAGCTTTAACTCCAGCATTATTAGTAACTGAATAGACAGTAAGTATGGACTTCTTATCTTATACTAACCCTATCACATTTGGCATTTTGTGAATTAAGACAATATTCTGATAACTCAAGAGTAATGCAAACAAGGTTATTTTGTTTCTCTATGTTCATCTCATTGTGTTTTGAAGTACCATTAATTCTAGAGGAAAAGCTAAAGGTTCATTTCCTCAGTGAGATCTACCATTTTCAGAAAAATAATATATTGCTTATGAAACTCTTTCAGAATTTAGCATTTTGGAAGACAAAGGTTTCTAAAACCATTTGGTTGCCCAGATACAATATAGACTTATGATTGCTGAGCAGGTCACAGTTTCATCTGATCTACTGGCATATTTCATCTGTGTTTGACATTCAAAAAGACTACTTTTTTAAAATTTAAAATCTAATTAAGTTAATCAAATTACACACACACACACACACACACACATTGCTCAACACACGGAACATGCTACTCCTTGTCTGGGAAGATGATGTCACCAATTCTGAGATGTGAGAGTTGTCAAAGTTGAAAAGCTTATACAAACTGTCCAGAGGGGAAAAAAAAAAAGAACACACCATAGTGATTCAATGTAAAATTCAATTTAGCACTCACATACTGCCTATTTGATGTTCAAGATCCCTAGATGCAAAAAGGTAACTAGTGTTATGAAATCTAATAAGCATTCCAAAGAAAATTTTAAGCTATTTCAAACAAAACTTGGCCCAACATATAATTGTCAAAAATACCACAAGCCTATGATCTCATGTTTTACAAGGGCTAAAAATAGAAACAACTAGAGTTTTAAGAGACTTTACATGGACAAGATATATAATGGCAAGTTTTTTTTTTAATTAAAAAATCAAGTACAGAAATTCTGATCATCTCTTTGAGAAATCCAAAACCATATGATGAATTATTAGGTCCATTCTGTTGGCCTGAAATCCAGATGGATCTGAACAGCTCATTTTGTCCCTCAACAATGCCAGCAAAAGTGTTCTCATGTGGTCTCTCCAGCACCAGCTATCACAGTGGTCTCTCAGAATTAATTCAGTGCAGGAAAGACAACCCCTCTTTTGGGAAATAGACCACACACCCCGAGCCATATCGCCAGCCAGTGCTCCTCAGCTTCAGGACGTACAAATGCTAGGTAGGCGGAGGATCAGTGCTCAACTGGAGTTTGACCTATTCAGCAAAAGGTCAACTTGCCATAGAAGAACCCATTACAAAAGAAAAGCTGGACAGCT